TTTTCTTTGTTGAAGAGGGTCTGTGCAATCCTTCTGCCTAGTCCGCCATCTTGCCCCGCCCCTGTTTGTTTGTTTTTGTACTGACTTAATTCTTTATATGGTCAAACATACTTTTGTGGGAACAATCTTTCTTTGTTTCAAGCCATAGCCATCTGAGTTAAAGACACTCTCTGGGCCTTGTTTTTGAGGAACAGCCCCCTCTCTTTTGTATGATGTGAGTTTCAAGTTCATTGGCGATAGCTTTCTGCTTAAGACCATCAGTGAGAAAACATAGATTTTCTTATCTTATCTGGGCTACAGTTGTATAAGACACACTCCACCCTACTGTTTTTCAAAAAGACTGGTACTCAGGACATATTTGTGAACAGTTTCCTGTTTGTTAGTATTTTTTGTCTTATACAGATCTTTTAAAGTAAAAGTACAGTAAGATTTTTAAGCTCCTAATGCTAATATCCCTTAACTTCTACATGCTTCCATCCTCATAGGTTTCTACTCTTTTTCCAAATGAGCACCTAGAATCTATTTCTTATTTCCTTGTCCACTTTTGACCCTAATGATTTCCCCATTTGACATTTTCTGACCTTTGCACCCTCCCTCAGTTTTCAAAGGGCGTCTTAGACATCCTGACTCCACAAACTTCCTATGTCAACATGACCCCAATGTAATCAAGAACAGGGAAGAAAGAAAATATGAACATGGTCAAAAGTGGCAAGGCAAGAGACTTTGCAATTAAATCTGACCCAGTACAATAACTTGCAAATTTTCCCCCAACATCTGGACCCTAAGTTCTAGAAGCAAGATATAAAGAACTAAGTGACACCATTATTTCCTCAGAGCTTTCATTAAGACTATTTCCTGAGCATCGTTTTAAAAGCTGCATCATTTACTCAAGATTACGATGACTTTAATTACTCTCTGTGGTTTCACCCTGCACCCAGGTCTCTGTGGGACTTTCTGTCCCCTGTGCCTCTCATGTCAGATTGCCTCTGACATGAATGAATGCTGTCTGTGTGGAGCAAGCGTTGCCATCAGGACCCTCTACCGGACCCGATACAACATCCCGGTGAGACTCTGAGTGTACACTGCAGTGCTAACAAAGACGCCTGGCTTCTTTTCAATCTGACCAGATCTCTGTGATAGCTGTCCTCACCTTCATGACTTGAGTCTAGTCTTTTTCTCCACTACCATCCTAACATTTTTAAGTGATTCACAGGGTCCATGCTGCCATCTATATTTTAGAATATATTAATAATAAAATCTTTTATTTAAATGTGTCTCTGAGAAGCTGCTGGAGGTGAATAGATGAGAGGTGGAAGTGAGCACAGGCCCCTTAATTTCTCCTTGTTTTACTTAGAGTCAGACTATCACTCACTGCCATGGAGTCATTTCCAACTCAAAGTGACCCTCAATGGGATTCCAAGGCTGTAAATCTTTATGGAAGCAGACTTACCCATCTTTCTTCCATGGAGTGGCTGGTGGGTTTGAACCAACATTTTGGTTAGCAGCCAAATGCCTTAACCACTACACCAGCAGAGCTCCTTAGAGTCAGACTATTGAACTCTGCAAATCTGTAGGGAGGGTGACAGAAAGCTCTGGGTAAAACTGGGCAAGTGCTGGATCCTCTCACAGCTGGTATGCTTGACTCTCTGGTAAGTCATAAGCCAATGTTGATTCATTTAACTAGGATTTATTGAGTATCTACAGGTCTCTGGGGGCATAAATAGTTTGCACTCAACTACTAACCTGAAGGTTGGTGGTTCAAACACACCCAGTGGGCCGCAGAAGAAAGGCCTGAGGATCTGTTCCCGTAAAGATTACAGTCGAGAAAACATATGGAATAGTTCTACTCTGTAACACACGGGGTATCCATGAGTCAGAATTGACTTGATGGCAAAGCTTGGTTTTTAGGGGGGTGGTTATTGAACACCTAGGACACGCCAAGTACTATTTCAGATGCTAGAGATTCATCAGGGAACAAAATATATTACTACCCTGTCTTCATGGAGTTGACATTCTTTTTTATAGTAACATTTTATTTTAACATAATTTCAGACATTTTTTGAAAGCTGCAAAAATGGTAAGGAATTCCCAAATACCTTTCACCCAGATTCCCCAACTGTTAAAACTTGGACACCATTAGCTTTATTGTTTTGTCTAACTCTAGTTTTTTCTGAATCATTTGAGAGTAAATTACAACCTTGTGCCCCTTTATCCCTAGCTACTTCAGTGTGTATTTCCTAAATAAGGACATTCTTTTACATAATCACAATACATCTATCAAATACTATGTGACACAATAATATTAGCTAATTTATGGACCTTGTTAAAACTTCACCAATCATCCCAAACCTATTCTTCATATGAAAAGGCAGTCAATTTGGGATTGCACATCGCGTTCAGTTGTCATGTCTCTTTTGTCTTCTATAATCTGGAACAGTTTCCTAATCTTTCTTTGTCTTTGATTATGTTGATAATTTTAGTAACATGGGTTGATTATCTTGTAGAATATCCCTCAATTTGAGCTTGTCAAATGTTTCCTCATGATTAAATTTAGGTTACTCTTTTTTTGATGGAAACCCCAAAAGTGATGCTATGTTCTTAGTGCATCATAGAAGCACAGGAAGTCAATCTGTCCTGTTATTGGTGATGTTAACTTTGATCACTTGCTTAGGACAGTGTCAGCCAGGATTCTCCACTGTAAAGTTGTTCTTTTCCCCTTTATAATTCATAAGTATCTTGTGTTGGTTGTCAGGAGATGCCATTGAGTCATTTTCAACTCATAGCAACCCCAGGTGACAGAGTAGAACTACCCCATAGGATTTGGGGGCTGTAAACTTTACCGGAGCAGACCACCAAGGCTTTTTTCCATGGACCCACTAGGTGGGTTTGAACTGGCAACTTTTCAGTTAGTAACTGAGCTCTTAACCATTATGCCACCAGGCTCCTAAATAACCAAAAAAACAAACCTGTTTCTGTCAAGTGGATTCCAACTCATAGTGACCCTATACAACAGGGTAGAACTGTCCTATAGGGTTTCCAAGGCTGCAATCTTTATGGAAGCAGACTGTCTCATCTTTCTCCTGTGGAGTGACTGATGTGTTTGAACTGCTGGACTTTTGGTTAGCAGGTGAACACTTAACCTCTGTTCCACCAGAGCTCACTGTTTACTGCTTGCATATCTCTATTCCGTCTCCTTCAGACAGATGTCTAAAATGGCTAGTAGTTCCTCCAACTGATTTGCGTAATTGAGGCTCTCTGCTTTGTTTCCCTTTTACATTTATGCAAACTTTGTCTCAGGCTATTATGCTGCAACCTCTTTTACCTGCCTCTCCCTTCATGGCCACAGCTTCTCCTAGGGAGAAGGAGGAAGAAAGGAAACAGTGACTGATTCAACACACACTATGGTCTGGAAAACTTTTGTAACATGTATTTGCTCATTTACTACTCATGAGCTCATTGTGGGGTGGGGATTTTTATCTTCACTTTGTAGAGAGTGAAACCAAGAATCAGAAAGGCTGAAGGACACAGAACATTTAAATACTGGAATTTGGGCTCAAGTTTATTCTAATTCCAAAGTTCTGTTTTTTTTTCCATTTCATCATCTTGCCTTCCCGAGTCAATGTGTGTTGAATCAGTCACTGTAAATTTGTGCGCATAATGAGACTTTTTCTTAACAGCTTCCAAACAAGTGAATTTAATCATATACCTCACCTCACCCCATCTGTCAGTTTATGATACTATTGTTGTTGTTGTTGTTATGTGCTGTCAAGTCGTTTCCAACTCACAGCAACCCCTCCTTGAGTTTCCAGGGCAGTATCACTACAGAAGTGGATTGCCCAACCTTCCTTCCTAGGAGTGGCTGGTGGGTTTGAACCGCCAACCTTCTGGTTAGCAGTCAAGTGCCTTGAGCATATTGCTATGATTCTAGAAGCCATGCCACCCACTGTTCAAGTTCTAGTAGGTGCACCTGTGGTGTACAGGTCTCAGTGGAGCTTCCAGACTAAGACGGACTAGGAAGAAAGGCCTAGCAATCTACTTCAGAAAATTAGTCAATGAAAACCCTATGAATATTGTCTGAGATAGTAGTGGATGATGAGTCCCCTAGGTTGAAGACATGATACAATGCCCGCAATCCAAACCAAACCTGCTGCCATCAACTCGATTCCAACTCATAGCGACCCCCATTGGGTTTCCAAGGTGGTAAATCTTTACAGAAGTAGATTGCCCAGTCTTCCTTCCATGAAGTGGCTGGTGGTTTGAATCACCAACCTTCTGGTTAGCAGTCAGATGCCTTGTTGTTGTTGTTATGTGCCGTCGAGTCAGACCCGACTCATAGCGACCCCTCCTTGGGTTTCCAAAGCAGTATCACTACGGAAGTAGATTGCCCAACCTTCCTTCTGAGGAGTGGCTGATGGGTTTGAACCTCCGGCCTTCTGGTTAGCAGTCAAATGCCTTAGTCACTATGCCACCAGAGCTCCCTGTTATGTCTACAACAAGGGACTCAGATATGCCACTGATCATGAAATAGCACAGGAACAAGCAACATTTCGTTATGTTGCACATGAGGTTGCCATGAATTGGGGCTAACTCGACAACACCTAACAACAAAAAAGTAAAATACCAGTCCCACTGACCAAACCAAGTGATGAATGCCAGCATCTTTCTTTCTGGCACCTAGTTCCTTGACAAGCAGCTCTAGGAAAGGCATTTTGCCCCTCATTAACTGCAGCCTAACATTCAACTGCCTTAGGCACTATGCCACCAGAGCTCCCAGTATGAACCTGTAGTCCTTTCTCTCCCACTTTGAAATAAGAATATTATTTCTTGTCTGTATTATGAAACATTTAAAATGGGGTATTTTCTATAGGGTTCTCTAGGTTTATCAGCAAATAATAGTATGATATATATATTTGTTTTCCTAAAAACTACCTACTTGAGATAAGTATATGTCCATTGCAAAGGATAAGATGCTGAGTAGAAAAGAAACAAAAGACAAGTACAGATGTACTGGAACAGAAAAGTAATTACATCTTTTTTGTTGTTGTTAGATGTCTTTAAATCAGTTCAGACTCATACTGACCTTTTGTTGAACAGAACAAAATACTGCCCAGGCCTGCACCATCCTCACAATAATTGCTGTTTGAGCCCATTATAGCAGCTACGTGGTCAATACATCTCGTTAAGGGTCTTTCTCTTTTTCACTGACCCTCTACTGTCATGAACATGATGTCCTTCTTCAGGAACTCGTTCCTCCTGATAACGTGTCCAAAAAGCATAAGATGAAGTCTCACCATCATCAGTTCTAAGGAGCTTTCTGTCTGTACTTCTTCTGAGACAGATTGGTTTGTTCTTCTGGCAGTCCATGGTATATTTAATATTCTTCACCACACCATACTTCAAAGGCATCAATTCTTCTTCAGTCTTCCTTATCCATTGTCCAGCTTTCACATGCTTATGAGACAGTGCAAAAGACCATGACTTGAGTCAGATGTACCTCAGTCCTCAAAGTGAAATCTTTGCTTTTTAACACTTTAAAGAATTCTTTGGCAGATTTTCCCAATGCAATACATCATTTTAGTTTTTGACTGCTGCTTCCAGGGACATTGATTGTGGAGCCAAGTAAAATGAAATCCTTGACAAGTTCAGTCTATTCTCCATTTATCATGATGTCGTTTATTGGTCCAGTTGTGCAGATTTTTGTTTTGTTTATGCTGAGATGTAATTCATACTGAAAGGTGTAGTCTTTGATCTTCACCAGCAAATGTTTCAAGTCCTCTTCATGTTCAGAAAGGAAAGTTGTGTCATCTGCATATCTCAGGTTTTAATAAGTCTTTCACCATACCTGATGCCCCATTTGTCATATAGTCCAGCTTCTCAGATTATTTGTTCAGCATATAGATTGAATAAGTGTGGTGAAAGAATACAGCCCTGATGCACACCTTCACTGATTTTAAACCATGCTATATCCCCTTGTTCTGTTTGAATGAGTGACTATCCCTTGGTCCATGTATAGGTTACACATGAGCACAATTAAGTGTTCCAGAATTCCCATTCTTTGCAATGTTATCCATAAATTGGATCCTTACTGTAATAAGCATATTCAGTTCTGCTTCCATGCAGTATATTATGGGTATTCAATAAAACTTAATGAAGGTTTAAAGGGTTTTGGATTACTTACCAGAGAAAAAGAGAAGGCTAAAAGAGAACTAAATTGTCTTCAAGCTGTCTATCCATTCTTCCATCTGAGGAAGGTCACTTTAGATTTTTACATTATTTGTCCACTCTGTTTCTAGGCTTAGTCTGCTAGATGTGAAACAAACAAAAAAATCACTGTAGCAATTGAAGAGTAAATAATTCGTAATATCTCCATATAGTCAAGCACTCAGCTACTAGCTGAATGATTGGCAGTTCCAACCTACCCAGAAGACAGGCCTGGCAATCTGTTTCCAAAAGGTCACAGCCTTGAAGATCCTATGAAGCAGTTCTACTCTGCTCACCTGGGGTCCCCATCCAATGAGTCAGAACCAATTTGATGGCCTACAAACAACAACCTTTATAAACTGAAGTTATTATATATTTCACTCTCTCTTTCTTCACTCCCCCCTCCCCATCCTCTTCCCCTACACATTGTAAACTGGGAATTTTATTACACTCAGCATTTTTAAAAATAAGTCCTGTAAAGAATTGAAGTCCAAATTTCACTCATTCAGGGGCATACAGTCATAGAACTTGGTTATTAGATTAGACCCTCTGGGTCACCCAATGCTTCCTGAACAGTCATTTCTAGGGCATCTGTCAAAAGGTCATTGCTCATATATTCCTCTCTCGCCCTGGATTCCTTCCTTGCAGAACAAAGCAAGAGATGTCAATGAAAACAACTAGAGAGGGATAGTAGTGGCCTGACACTACTTATAAGCTAGAGAAAAATTGGGACATTAAACAACCAACTTCATAAGGAATCATTCCAGAACATTTGAGAGAAGACTGGGGCTACAGATCATTTGAAATAGTGCAATATTATGCACAGGGCACTGTCTTTGAAAGGGAAAGACCAAACTCTGGTACTAATTTGTTATGTGATATTATCAAGTCATTTCATTTCTTTAGGTCATAAAAAAAATGGGGATAATGTTATAGAACCTTTTTGATAAACAAGTGAAATAAAATATATATTTTGAAGAGATTTGGGAACCTAGGCAAATGTAAGGGATTATTATGACTACATTTATAGGCTGCACGTTGATCAGCTGGTTGTTTTGTTTTGTTTGTTTAACAGGGATCTATTTGCAGTGATTTCGTGTGGCTGGCATGTTTCCCTAACTGCACCCTTTGTCAGCTTAAGCGAGATATTGAAAAAAGAAAAGCAATGAATGCTTTCTAAAAGATGCTTGGTAAGTGGAGAATTCTTGGCTGATCTATGAATATAAAAACAAATTCTCAAAGACATCTTTAATTTCTTGGAGCCCTCTCACAGACAAATAAGAAACCCCTTAGCAAATGGAGGAAAAATGCTTTTAACTTGCCAGCCTATCCAATCAGTTGGTAGCCTCCCAGAACCAGGTTGAAAGGGCTACAGCCTGATTGGATAAGAAAGAATCCTGTCATGTGTTCAGATGTCTGCCATTGGTGGAGAGGCTGTGTGAAGTACTGATACCAACCATGTCTATCTTAACTAATACTTTAAGATAGTAAAGATATGTATATGACAAGACATTCATTTCCTTAGCCTAAGATTTGAGGTCCACAGCTATCAACACTAATCTACTTGGATGTTATACTAAATGTGACCATGTAATGTGCCTAGTTGTATTTTCCTATTAACACCATGATATTAAAATCAATCGCTAAAGTGGTGGAAGGCTACTGTAGTTCCTAAATTTATAAAGCCTGAAATGTGAACAATGCAGTCAGTTATCTAAAATTCTCAAAGCCCCCGTTATGGAAAAAAATACTAACTTTCTGATGATTATATTGTCAAAATTGAGCAACTGCTCAGTTACCTAGTTAATTAAGTTCTTCTGGTCGAATTCCCATTCTTCTCAGGCAAGAGGACATTGGATTACTCAGTCTTGCTTTCACAGTCTCTTACCCTCAATTCCTGTGGAATTGTATTCAACTTTTAATTTTGTAGAAGTGGCTACAAAAAAAAAAAAAAAAAACATTGCTGTCAAGTCTTTTCTGACTGACAGTGATCCTGTATGTTACAGAGTAGAACTGATCTCTATAGGGTTTTCTTGTCTGTAATCTTTATGGAAGCAAATCACCAGGACTTTCTTCCATAGCACCACTGGGTCTAAAAGCCCTATGTCCCAAAAGGTCTTTGAGAGCATTTGATCAATACGATGGAGTCACAAGTATGATTGGTTGACATTAGCTCAGTCTTTCTCTCACTAAGCTATTTTGCCATATGCAACACAAAATAATGTCCTCTTAGATCCTGGATAGAGTGGGTGAACAATGTGGAACAAAATTCAAAAACATTTTGGGGAAAAAAAAAGGGATCAGGTTTCCTGGTCTGATGGAACCACTGAGACTATGGCCCCTAGCTGCCCTTCAGGTCTGGAATTGAACCCACTCCTGGGCATATGAGGCAAACATTTACCTGAGGTAGATACACTCCATGGAGAGAACGATCATGGGAGAATAGAAGCGCTATGTAGGCACAAGAAGACAGGAGTGCATGGAGGGAAGGACACAGGCAAGAAATAACTATGCGGAGAGAAGTAGGAGGGGAGCCATTGCATTATGGTAAACTGTAGCCAATGTCATGAGTCAAAGTGTATGTGAACTACTGTATGGGGAGTGAATTTGCTCTGTAAACTTTCACCCAAATCACCTTAAAAAAAAAAAAAGAAGAAGAAGCCTCTTCATAAGCCATGCTTCAGTGTGTTACATTTTAGTCCCAGGTACAGTATCCCCATACTTTTCTTCTGATTGCTTCAAATAACTTCCCTAATGGCTGCAAATAACTTCCCTAATGGCCCCAAAGTGACAAGGCAGAAAGCAAGAAAAGGACAGAAAAGGCCAAGGGGACCAGGACAGAGTGAGGAGTCAGCTGCAGGGATCCAGGTGAGGAGAGGGAACCCAGGCCACACCCCACAAGAGGCAAGGCAGAAAAGCGGGGAAAGGACAGAAAAGGCCAAAGTGGCCTGGTGAGAGTGAGGAGTCAGTCACAGGGATCCAGGTGAGGAGAGGAAACCCAGTCCACACCCCAAAGCGGGAAAGTGGGGAAAGGACAGAAAAGGCCAAGGGGACTGGGACAGAGCAAGAAGTCAGCCACAGGGATCCAGGTGAGGAGTGGGAACCCAGGCCACACCCCACAAGTGGCCAAGCAGGAAAGCAAGGAAAGGACAGAAAAGGCAAAGGGGACCAGGACAGAGTCAGGAGTCAGCCACAGGGATCCAGGTGAAGAAAGGGACCCCAGGTTATGCCCCCAAAAAGCAAGGTGGAAAAGTGGGGAAAGGACAGAAAAGGCCAAGAGGACCCGGTCAGAGCGAGGAGTCAGCCACAGGGATCCAGGTAAGAGTGGATGGAGAGGTTTCCAACAGCTAAGGGAGACAAACATGTCTGTCAGTTTGTCCTACTGTGGTGATGAGTTGCTGTGAGTCTTGAGGCTGTGTCACTGGTATTTCAGACCCAGCAGGGTGCACTTGGTACACAGGTATCAGTGCACCTTGCAGACTGAGACAGACCAGGAAGAAGGAAGCGGCCATCCACTTCTCAAAGAATTGGCCAGGGAAAACCTTATGAATAGCAGAGAAACACTGTCTGATACATTACTGCGCAATTTTATGAATAGTCCAGAAACATTGTCCAATAAAGAGGAGGAAGATGAGTCACTTAGGTTAGAAAGTTCTCAAAATCGGACTGGACAAGAGCTGAACTATCAGAGTAAAACCAGACTTACTCATATGGATAACGTAAAGTTTCCAAGACCACCATTTATTGACGTAGCACCACTCAAAATGAGGAGAAACAGCTGCAACCATCCATTAATAATCAAAACATGGAATGTACGAAGTATGAATCTAGGAAAATTAGAAGTTGTCAAAAATGAAATGGAATGCATAAGGATTGATATCCTAGGCATTAGTGAGCTGAAATGGACTGGTTTTGGCCATTTGAATCAGACAACCATATGATCTACTATGCTGGGAATGACAGTTTGAAGAGGAATGGTGTGGCATTCATCATCACAAAGGGTGTTTCAAGATCTAACCTGAAGTACAGTGCTGTCAGTGATAGGATAATATCCATATGCCTACAAGGAAGATCCATTAATATGACTATTATTCAAATTTATGCACCAACCACAAAAGCCAAAGATGAGGAAATTGAAGATTTTTATCAATTTTTGCAGTCTGAAATTGACTGAACATGCATTCAGGATGTGTTAATTATCACTGGTGACTGGAATGCAAAAGTTGGAAACAAAGAAGAATCACCAGTAGTTGGAAAATTTGGCCTTGGTGACAGAAAT